GGGGGGAAAAAAAAGGGGCAATTAAAGGCGAGGGAGGTGGAGCTTGAGAGGGAGCCGAGCGGCAGGGCGCGTAATCAAAGAAGATCGAGGGGACTGCAGGAGCGAGTGAAAAGAGAGGCCAGAGAAGGAAGACAGCTGACAGGTAAGTGCAAATTTTGCTGCTGCAGCCAGGTATGCAGGCTGTAGATGGGAGAGAGTGAGCCAGGCTGGAGCAGGAGTCAGCAAGGTAAGTATCATTGGTGTCAGTGGGAGGGGTAGTGCCCCCTCATTTGTGTCACTAAAACCAACGATGGGGCACTATTTCCTCCCCCCACTGACACCAACGATGAGACACTATTCCTCCCCCCACTGACACCAACGATGGACTTATTCCTCCCTCACTGACACCAGATGAGGCACTATTCCTCCCCCCCCTGACACCAACGATGAGACAGTATTCCTCCCCTCAGTGCACCAACGATGGGGCACTATTCCTCCCCTCACTGACACCAACGATGGGGTGGGGGCACTATTCCTCCACGGACGCCAATGATTGGGCACTATTCCTCCCACTGACGCCAATGATTGTACACTATTCCTCCCACTGACACCAATGATGGAGCACTATTCCTCCCACTGACACCAATGATGGAGCACTATTCCTCCCACTGACACCAATGATGGGACACTATTCCTCCCACTGACACCAATGATGGGGCACTATTCCTCCCACTGACACCAATGATGGGGCACTATTTTTTCCACTGACACCAATGATGGGGCACTATTCCTCCCACTGATACTAATGATGGGGCACTATTCCTCCCACTGACACCAATGATGGGGCACTATTCCTCCACACTGATACTAATGATGGGGCACTATTCCTCCCACTGACGCCAATGATGGGGCAATATTCTTCCCACTGATACTAATGATGGGGCACTATTCCTCCCACTGATACTAATGATGGGGCACTATTCCTCCCACTGATACTAATGATGGGGCACTATTCCTCCCACTGACGCCAATGATGGGGCACTATTCCTCCCACTGATACTAATGATGGGGCACTATTCCTCCCACTGACGCCAATGATGGGGCACTATTCCTCCCACTGATGCCAATGATGGGGCACTATTCCTCCCACTGATGCCAATGATGGGGCACTATTCCCCCACTGATAACAATGATGGGGCACTATTCCTCCCACTGATAACAATGATGGGGCACTATTCCTCCCCACTCATACCAATGATGGGGCACTATTCCTCCCACTGATAACAATGATGGGGCACTATTCTCCCACTGATACCAATGATGGGGCACTATTCCCCCCACTGATACCAATGATGGGGCACTATTCCCCCACTGATACCAATGATGGGACACTATTCCCCCCACTGACACCAATGATGGGACACTATTCCTCCCACTGACACCAATGATGGGACACTATTCCTCCCACTGACACCAATGATGGGGCATATTCCTCCCACTGACATCAGTGATGGGACGCTAGTCCTCCCACTGCAAAATTACAGTTATGAAGTAGCAACGAAAATAATTTTATGGTTGGGGGTCACCACAACATGAGGAACTGTATTAAGGGGGTCGCGGCATTAGAAAGGTTGAGAACCACTGGCTTAGGGTGTCTACTTTCCAAAAGGGGTCATTTGAGGGTGTTTGTACTATCCTAGTATTTTAGCACCTCAAAACATGTGATGGCAGTCAGAAAGTAAAAGCTGCGTAAATTCCATTATCTATACCATAGTTTGTAGATGCTATAATTTTCACACAAAGCAATAAATATACACTTATTGGGATTTTTTTAACCAAAAAACATGTAGCAGAATACATTTTGGCCTAAATTTATGACGAAATTTTAGGTTTTTTTTAAATATTTTTTATGACAGAAATGAGAGGTTTTTTTTTATAGCGGCAAAAATAAAAAGCGCACAGGGGATCAAATACCACTGAAAGAAAGCTCTATTTGTGTGAAAAAAAAGGATGTAAATTTAGTTTGGGTGCAGCATTGCATGACTGTGAAATTATCACTTGAATTAGTGCAGTGCCAAGTAGCAAAAAGAGGCCTGGTCATTAACGGGGGTAAATCCTCTGGAGGGCAAGTGGTTAACTGAAAACAAGCTATTTGAGCATTTTGACATTATCAATTTCTGAAGGACATATAGTACTGCTTGCTATCATCATGTGTAGTCTGTGACAAGAGATTACCTGGAGGTTTTTGGGTTTGGTACTTCTGTAGGTTTAGGAATTGGTGGTTCTGAGGAACCATGTAATACAAATGATCCAGACCAAGATCCATAACTGGTTGTTGTGACTCCATTCCTTGTTGATCCAGTGTAACTCGACAGTCCAGGTTTTTTTTCCACTGTCACTAATCCTACATTATTATCCAGTATTCCAACATGGATAGCTGCTTTGCAAATGGAGGAATCCTAAATATATATATATATGATATGTTATTAGAGTTTCCTGATGAAGTGTACTTTTTTTGTGCTGTATTTTTTTGTGACAGTAGTAGCAGTTGAATTAACTTACATCAGTATACACATCAGTTCCCCAGGCATTTCTTCCATTAACCATGCAATCCGATGGACATTGGACTCTAGGGAACAGAAGACACAGGTTTGCACATATTTTTCTAATGAATCTCTTTTCTATTCTATCTTAGTATTATCCAGTTAGTGACACCAGTTAAATGAAGACAATACTCACAGTGCGATAGAATCTTGTAGGTCTTTAGCAGTGGTTGAGCAGGTTCCTTGTACTGGAAAATAAGGGAAAACATTACAAATCAGTGATTTTTGCAACCGTCTGTGAATGTCAGAGGCTGAAAATTTGTCATGCTCTTTTTGTAAACCAGTCAAATTACTTGTTATGGGTAGATGCCCAGACTGCATGGGGAGCAGTGACAAGATAGTCTGGGACTTGGTGTCATTCTTTTTCCATATGGGGTACCACTTAAACGTGGACAATTTTTTATTCAAGCGTGCCACTATTTAGACATTTGTACAATCTTGGAACTGGCGCATGTGGCACAATGTGACCTAATGTGTGCCCACCATTAGAAGTGGGTGGATGCAGGGTGGTATATTCTAATGGTGGGAATACCACACACTTTTTCTGGCAATGATTTCTTCTAATTTTTTCATTCAGCCCACAGGCTGCATACAAAAAAAAAGAAAAGAGCATACCATACTGTATATACCCAACAAGGACCAGGGACATACTGGTACATCACTGGACTTTGAACAGTTACACCAGGATGATGTCTACAGCTGCAGGCATCATCTGGCAATCGGCCTTCATGTAAAAGCAATCCTAGTGGCTAATTAGCTGCAGGATTGCTTTTACAAGCAGCGGGAGATGATGCCCCCCCTCCCCCGCTGCCTTCCACGGCATTCTCGTGCAGTCCCGTGCCATCGAGGGAACCTGAGAATGCAGACGGTGTTTCTGCCAGCTGACCATAGAGCTGATTGGAGATCAGAATGGTGCCAATCATATCTATAGCCTAAGAAATCGGAAGCTACGAGCATTTAATCACTTCAGTTCAGAAGGATATAAACAGCGCCATTTGTAAATTGGGAAAGCATCTGTTCACACCCATCTTGGTTGATTATATAATGTAAGGGCAGAGGAGAGATCTAGAGTCTGATAGACCCCAGATTTCTCAAAAAAGAATATATGATAATGCCCAGTGAAGTTATAGGGGATATTTGCATTCCCTGTGAAAAATTCGCCTGTGAAAATTGCAGCATCGCCATTGTATTCACTAGGGTGTTTGCTTTAAAAAATATATAAAATGTTTTGGGGGTTTAAATTAATTTCCTAATAAAATACTGAATTGTTTTATGTGAACAAAAAGAGTCAGAAAAGGCACTTCAGGTGGTTAGAATTGAGTGATGTGTGGCTTCTAATGCTGGGCATAAAATGCCCCCACTCCCCAAAACGTTTTTGGAAAGTAGAAATGCTAAAAGAGGCATGTTGAATAAATGAATAATTTTTTTTTTTGACAAAAAAATTTTTTTTTCACAAAATTTCACTTAAATGATTTATTGCTCACACATGCCATGGGTATATGTGGAATTACTCCCCAAAATACATTCTGCTACTTCTCCTGAGTATGGGGTACACGTGTGAGAGACTTTTTGGGAGCCTAGCCACATACAGGAGCCTGAAATCCAATGACCACTTTGAAACCCTGAAGGTGCATAACTTCCTCATTTCACTTCCTCACTACCAAAATCCAATAAGCACCTTCAGGCTTTTAAAGGGCTTTATTTCCTCTTTACACTTCCTGATTACCTATCACAGTTTTGGAGGCCCTGAAATGCCAGGGTAGCACCAAACCCCCCCAAATGACCCCTTTTTGGAAAGTAGACACCCCAAGGAATTTGATAAGAAGCATGGTGAGTATTTTGCAGATCTCTTTTGTTGCCACAGGTTTTTGGAAAATGGAGATAAATAACAAAAATATATTTTTTCTTTTCTTTTTTTTATCTTTTTTTTTACATTTCAAAAACCTTGTGAGAAAAAAATAGATGTGCAAAATACTCAACATGCCTCTTTTTAAATTCCTTGGGGTGTCTACTTTCCAAAAAGGGGTCATTTGGGGTGGGGGTTGGTGCTATCCTGGCAATTCAGGGCCTTCGAAACAGTGATAGGTAGTGAGGAAGTGAAATGAGGGACATAATGCCCTTTAAAAGCCTGAAGGTGCTTATTGGATTTTTGGCAGTGAGGAAGTGAAATGAGGAAGTTACGCTCCTTCAGACTTTCAAAGTGGTCAATGGATTTCAGGCTCCTGTATGTGGCTAGACTCCCAAAAAGTCTCACACATGTGGTATTCCCATACTCAGTAGAAGTAGCAGAATGTATTTTGGGGTGTAATTCCACATATGTCCATGGCTTGTACAAGAAATAAATCATTTAAGTGACAACTTTGTGTAAAAAAAAATATATATATTTTTGTCATTTTCCAGAAACGTGGAAACATTTTTTTTTCCATGGACTCAAATTATTATTATTATTATTATTATATCGAGTTTATATAGCGCCAAAGGGTTTGCTCAGCGCTGTACAATAGAGGGGGGGACAATACATGAAACAGTACAGTAACAACAAACAGCACCCAAGGGGTAAGAGGGCCCTACTCTTTCGAGCTTACAATCTAGGAGGGAGGGGGTTAGTGGTACAGGAGGAAATGGCTGTGGGGAAATGGCTGTGGGGGGATGGAGTGGTAGGAGGACGGAAGGGCAGCGGCTGTTAGGTGAGAGGGTGGGGTAGGCTTCCCTGAAGAGGTGGGTTTTCAGGGAGCGCCTGAAGGTGAGGAGGGAAGGTGACAGTCTGACGGATTGGGGTAGTGAGTTCCAGAGGATGGGGGAGGACCTGGAGAAGTCTTGCAGACGTGCGTGTGAGGAGGAGACCAGGGAGCAAGATAGAAGGAGGTCCTGTGAAGAGCGAAGGGTACGGGTAGGGTGGTACCTGGGAATCAGGTCGGTGAGGTAGTTAGGGGCAGTGTTGTGAATGGCCTTATAGGTCAGAGTGAGCAGTTTGAATTTAATGCATTGGGCAATGGGGAGCCAGTGGAGGGAGAGGCAGATGGGGGTGGCAGAGGTGAAGCGGCTGATGAGGTGGATGAGTCTGGCCGGCTGAGTTCAGGATGGTCTGAAGCGGGGAGAGTTTGCACTGGGGTAGGCGGTGAGGAGGAGTTGCAGTAGTCAAGGCGTGAGATAATCAGGGACTGTGTACAGTTGCAGAAAAAGTATGTGAACCCCTTGGGATTACGTGGAGTTTTGCATGAATTGGGCATAAAATGTGCTCTGAACGTTATCTAAGTCACAACAATAGAAGAACACAGTCTGCTGAACATTATAAATACTACACAAAACATCTTAGATGTTGCCATGGTTTAATTGCACATAACATGTAAACATTCACAGTGCCAGGGAGGAAAAAGCATGTGAGGCCCTAGCTTAATGACTACTCCCAGAGCTAATTGGAGCCAGGAGTGAGCCAACCTTGACTCCAATCAGTGTGATGATATTGGATGTGTTGTTGGCAGCTGTCCTGCCTTAAAAAACACACACCTGTTTTGGGTTTACTGGTTTCAAGAAGCACTGTCTGATGTGAACCATGCCTCGCAGATAAAGAGCTCTCAGAAGACCTACTGATCAAGAATTGTTGACTTGCATGAAGCTGGAAAGGGTTACAAAAGTATCTCCAAAAAGCCTTGATGTTCATGTGTCCCACGGTAAGACAGACTGTCTACAAATGGAGAAAGTTTAGCACTGTTGCTACTCTCCCTAGGCGTGGTCGTCCTGTAAAAATGACTGCAAGAGCACAGCGCACAATGCTGCATGAGGTAAAGAAGAAACCTAGAGTGTCAGCTAAAGGACCTACAGAAATCTCTGGCACATGCTAACATTTTTTGTTGACACATCTACAATAAGGAAAACATTATACAAGAATAGAGTACATGGGAGAAGACCACTACGGAGGAAAGCCATTGCTGTCCAAAAAG